AAAGAAAGAAAGAAAGAAAGAAAGAAAGAAAGAAAGAAAGAAAGAAAGAAAGAAAGAAATAGAAAGACTATACAGAGCCCTGGTCAATTGTGGGTTGTAGTTATAGTAGTGAGAGTGTCTCTTACTGAAGATTGGCTTTTGAGCTGTTTCATGAAGCACACTGACAGGTAATCATTGTTCAGGTGACTAGTAATTTAGGATCATGTATATCCAGGAATAGTGATCTAAAATAAGGTGCTCATAAGCAGGCATATAATTCAAGCCTGAAAGCTTATTGGAACATGTTGGAAGGGTCAAGCTTCCCATCTTTTCTCTTGAAGTTATATTCCTAGATAGCATTTAGAGATGAAACTGTAATGTGGACATAGTATTTATTTTATTTAGGATTGAATAAATTTGGGCATGTCAGCAAATTTCAGTCTGTGTTTATATTTTGTTTCTTTTGTGAAAACTTCAGTGTACACCCCAGGGCTCTTCTGGTTCTCCAAGATCAGGTATTGCACTATGGGTAGCCTCCATTGCTAACTGTGCCTCATGGTTCATAAGGCATAAATCTTGAAGTAGTGGCATACACCAGCCGACCGTTCATGAGTACTCCCTTATCAGTTAGTTGAATCTGCCTGTCAGTGCAATATGTAAGTATTGTCTTCAGCAGTAGGGCCTTACCAGCAGTTTGTGGAGATCAAACAATAATTTTGGTAATAGTCTGGGTTGTTTGGAAGTTACCACAAGGCCCTTTAGCTAACAACTCAAGTAGATTTAATCCATTCCTAGTAGTGGATGTTTTACTTGGTGGCAAAATATAAGCATTGTTTTCCCTTTTATTTTGTGATTATCATCATTTAGATTTTTTCCATACACACACACACACATACATACATACACACATATATATGTTTTTAGAAGCTTATACAGTAGTAGTTTTCATATGACTTTTCAGTGTTACATTAATAGCATGGAAGTAAAATACGTTCTTAATTTTAAAAATATTTTGAAATATTTTGTTATAACATGTTCAGGATTTTATTTTTATTTGTTTATTTCAACAGTTAGTTTTAGTTAACACCTCTCTAAGAAATTTAGATTCAAGATATGAAGTACTGAACTCAGGATACTTTTTTCCATTTAATTAATTATATTTTTGAAAGTTTTGCTGACATCAGGCTAAGGAATTTCCATCTTCCAAATACAAAATATATATTCCAGTTTAATGACAAAGGGCTGCCTTATTTTTTTTTAAGCTAAATTAATTTTATCTTTAGGGTTTGTGTTTGAGTATGTTTCTTTTTCCTGCCTCTTTTTCAAGGTATTATTTTTTAATTATGTATATGTTTGTGTGGTGATGGTTTATGAACATGAGTATAGGTGCCTGCCTCAGAGTTGGAGTTTCAGGCAGTAATAAGATAACCATTGTGATTGCTGGAGGTCTTCTGTGAGATAGGACCTGCTATCTCTTCAGCACCACAGGAATCCTTAAAAGAACTTGTACACATTGTGATAGTCTATTTAAAAATAATTAATAAATTTTGTTACTGCCTAGTCATGCCCCGGTAAAATATAATAAATTAGAATTACTTGAGAACAGATGCATAATTGAAGGGTGCTATTTCCTTCTTGATGAATGTTCATTCTTCCTTCAGTAGACTGACAATTATGTGAAGGGACAGGCTTTCTAGTCTCCTTAGGCAGTTTGCTCTGGAGATCCTGTCTCTGCCGTTAGAGGCTGTAGTTATAAAAGGGCTGCAATTCATGAGCATTTACATTGGTTTTGGCGGTTCACTCTGGTTCACTTACTTTTATTTATTTATTTTGTATGCATGTGTATATGTGAAATGGTAGCACTTCTGCAGCGTGTGTGTGGTGTTCGAAGGACAATCTTTCAGAGTTGGTACTCTCCTGCTATGTGTATCCCAGGGGATTGGACTCAAGTCTTTAGGATTGATGGCAAGTGCTTTTACCTGCTCACCTATCTCACAGACCTAATAATTTTGTTTTTAAAAGTATGTTTAAAGATACTGCCTTTTCTTTACACTTGTATATTTATTATTACCTGAGGGATGGCTGTGGTAGCAAGTACATTAACCCTCTAGATATCTTGACAGCCTTGACTTAATACTTTATCAATGGCTTTCTGACATAAAAAAGGACTTCAGTGTTAGTATGCTTTATTAATTATTAGTGAACTGCACATCTTTCTTATATTTAGGTAAAGTATAGATACATACTTGAATAAATTTCCCAGTACTGTTTATAGTTTTTGCAATTTACATGCCTATTTTAAAGGAAACTTATTATTTTTAATATTATTATCTAGATTGTTGTATATTTTTAGAATATGCTTTATATGTGGGGTCTAATTAAGAGGATCCAATGAATAGGTCTGCTGTTCATTAACTACCAAGTTGTGTACAGTGAGCTAAAGTTGATTGATTATACAGATGGTTAGCACGGAATAACACAAGCATACAGTTCCTTTACAAGCCAGGGTCTAGGAGCTCAGGAAACCTATCAAGAAAAGCCGGCCTCTTATCAGTGTATGCCCCACTGGAACTGAAATCTACCTACTCTGCATTTTATGCCCTGAACTAACATGACTTGCTCACTAAAACAGCTGTATATTCTCAGGGAGAATTAGAACAGAGCACAGCCATTCTATTCCTTTCCTCTCTTAGGATGTTACTATTCTGCTAAGGTCCTTTTGCTGAACTCCAGTAGGAAGTCTAGGTAGGTGTGGAGAAGCTGGAAAATCCTGAGTCCTGAGATCACAAGACTGGACTGAAGACTTACAGGGTTAGGTTCTGAGACCTGAGACCTGAGACCTACAATATATCCTTTCCGTCTTTAGAACCCATTTATGTTTCTAGCATTCATTTTGGGCATATTGCTATGGGTTTTACCACAAGTGCATCTGGTAAATTTCTGGATTCTAGTCCCAGTAAAGAGTTGCAGGAGACAAACAGCAGACAGGGAATTCTAGTGTTATAGTTTTCAAACAGATCATAGATACTAGTCAACAGTTTTATAGCTATAGTATTGCAGTGACCTAACAGAATTCTAACACTACTTAGCACCCACTTCAGTGCTCCAGGGAAAGGTGTGTCCTTTTAAGATGTTACATTTCTAGAATATTCTACAGCTATTCTTTGAAACTACAAGCAAGGAAGATAAAAGAATCTGGTAGGTCCAAAGGCACCTGAGCAGTCTTTTACATGTCTTGTGGATCCAAGTTAATCTAATATTAGCTAGGTGAGGAAAGTATTAAAGGACTGTATAAAGAATGAGGAAGATAGTGACTAGTGGAAATTAAAGGACTGTATAAAGAATGAGGAAGATAGTGACGAGCCTGATGTCAGCAAAA